CTGTCTCGGGTCTTGCCCCTTCACCTGACAAATGTATGTGCAATGTATGGATGGGACTTCAAATATGCAGGTACAGTCTCAAAACACCAGTGTAGAGGATGAGAGGAGAGAGGTATTGGTTTGCCACTGTTACTTTCTGCTTGGGATCATGACAGACGCAAGCACAAATCACTGCAGTGCTTGTGGCAGTTCCTTTTGGCCACTGCATATATGAAGAGAGAGAAATAGAGGCAGAATGGAGAATAACGGCATTTGCCCTTGCATTTTCCTCTTAAATACGGTTCCCTACTGCCCCATTACCCGGGGCAATTGAGGTTCCCCTCTGATGTGAACACTTTTCTCACACTCCCAGCCCTTCAGCATGTGGACACCACTCAGCATGCCCTGCGTTGTGGGCTCTAAAACCCTCGGGGCTAGAAGGGGAGCTGGAGAAAGAAAAGCTTTTATCAGTGCTATGAGGGGCTTTGGGAGGGAGGGGGGAAAGGAGGGAAATTTGCCCAGTCTTGGTGCTCAGGCCAGCATTACTTTGTCCTTTGCTTTTACAGCCACGAATTCTCCCTCCAACAGAGAGCAATAAATTACTCTTTCCTTTAATGCAGCACAGCAATCCAGTTATGGGAAATGATTGTCTGGTAGCTCTCGCTGGGGAGGCTGACCACCTCCCTTGTGCTGGACCACCAGAAATGCTCTGGGAGAAGCAGGGGTGCTAAGTAACACGTTTGCAGTGAGCCAAAGGGCACTGCCATTCCCTGCCAGACTGGGAGGGAGGCGTGTGTCCCCTTAACAGCCCTTCATAAATAACCCTGCAGGAGATTTTCTTTTTTAAAGGCCTATAATCTAAAATCTCTTTGGTTTACGAACCAGAGTAGTTCAGAACAGTTTTTGTGCAGATGATAAAGTGGAAAGTTCATAATTTAAATCTTTCCATTCAGGATTCTGGCGCTCCAGGAAAATTTCCTTCTTCAATTTAAAATGGATGTAAGTGGAGCTATTTTTTGATGCATCAATCCCATTTCTCTCAGCTAAGATAAACTGGTCCCAGACTTGTATCTTTTTCTTTTTTCTTTTCCATTTGTTTGTCCTCTCTGCATGCAGGCTTGCAGCACAGAAGAAAGGAGAAGAGATTTTGAGAAGATCTTTGCACACTACGACGTTGTGAGTCCCAGAGGCCATTGCCTTGCAGTCTTTAAATGACACAGATTTAGCACACGCTGCTCAGACTTCTTGCTGTGTGCTGTGGGGGTCACTCAGGACCTGCAGCTGTACTCAAGCACATAGGCCAGAGGGACCCAGGCTGTGGGGTAAGGTAGGGACAGAGGAGTGCAATGCTCAGAGACCTTGTGGCAAAGGACCCATTTTGACTTTCTCCATCTCCATGACCAGCACTGATGCATGAGCAGTATCTCCCTGCAGGAGATGTAAGGGATGTAGAGGAGGTGGTGGCTTTAGGTCTCACAGTCTCTGGCTGTTTGGGACCTGCATCACCACAACCTTGAAAAATAAAACCCCTTCCAGTACTGAATCAAGGGTTACTTAGGGAGTCTGGCCCAGAGCAGACACAGACACCTAACTGCCTGTTAGAAATCATTAATGTAGTGCCACTTCTGGCACTGACACAGCTCCCTCAGGGTGGTCACCAGCAAGCCTCACAAAATGGTGAGAGATATTGCTCCCATTTTGGGAGAAGAGGTGGTCTGAGAAAAAGAAAGGGATCTTGGATATTAGGAAGAAATTCTTTACTGTGAGGGCGGTGAGGCACTGGAACAGGTTGCCCAGGGAAGTTGTGGATGCCCCCTCTCTGGAAGTGTTCAAGGCCAGATTGAACAGGGCTTTGGGCAACCTGGTCTGGTGAGAGGTGTCTCTGCCCATGGCAGGGGGGTTGGACCAGATGACTTTTAAGGTCCCTTTCAACCCAGACCATTCTGTGATTCTGTGATCTTTATGCTACAAAGCTGGGTGACCAGGTGGACCTACTGACCAGTAAACATTGTCGTGTTTTTTACTCACTGGAGCGTTTTGATGTTTATTCCATCTTTCAGAGTAAAACAGGAGCACTTGAAGGCCCAGAAGTGGATGGGTTTGTCAAAGACATGATGGAACTGGTCAAGGTAGCTTCATGGCTCTTTCTATTTGTTAATATCCTATATTTCTGAGAGGAAGGTGCTTGTTTTGGAAAAGTTATGTAAGTAGAGAGGCTAGTAAGAACAAAGAGTCAAATTTCACTTTGATCAGCAGCAGAAATGAATACCACAGTCTCAGTATATACACTGTAGAGCATGTCATCATATCAAAAAAAATCTGCCTGGCAAATTAATACATCTTCACTCAGAAACTGTATTTAAGAACAGTCCATTCCAGCTGATACTCTGAATTAGGTAGATCACAAACTGTGTTGATATATATCAGTCATCAGAAGTATTCTGTTTTCACTGTGGATGTGGTCCTCACCAGAATGATCTCATGGTTCAGAAGTTCATCACTACCCACCATCCCCATCACTAGGGCTACACTTGAAAATTACTTGAGATCTATCTCTAATTGAGTATACTGTACCCAGTGTGTCACTTCAGTTTCTTAGGGACAGCAGAGTCAATCTGCATTGGATTACCTTGAGTTTCCAGATGCAGTCCAACATAGAGCTTTTAATCCAAATATAGTCTGGTCTTTGGCTCCCTCTGAGCCTGAGCTGTTGCATTTCCACATGATGTGACCTGACACAGGGATGTCTGTGCTCCCACGTCTGTTCAGCACAGAGCAGAAAGTGCAGCTGCCTGTGTGTGTTATAGCCACGTGGCATGCAGGGAGGGCTGTGGGGACAGGCAGGAGGTTGGGTTGGTGCTTTGCACACATGTGTGCAAAGGAGAGAAGGTTGTACTTTCCTTAAGGGCCTTCTTCAGCATTGTCCTTGAGAATCAAAAGCTGTGCATGTGAATTTGATCTCCACTTGGGAAAGTGGGAAGCAGTACAACACTAGGAGCATACAGAGACAGTGTAGCCTGTCAAATGTGTCTTTAGCATTTGTTTGATCCACTAAAGGTATTTGTAAGTTGCTGACTAGCCTGTAAAATAGTAGCCTGCTGACAGATATGTCACAACACTCCTCATGGAGCAGGTTTGAGAGAGGAAACCAGGTGAAAGCACAGGCCAAGTAGTGTAGCTATTTGTATTGCACACCTTTCTGCATACTTCTGTTTTGGTATGGATCAGATACTGATAGACTTGAGTAAGCACAGAAATCATGTTGCATTTCCGTACAGTTACTCACAGTCCCATATCCCTTCTGTTTTTGCAAGGTGCCTTTTCCCCATTCTCTGTTTCCTAGGAGCTGATGTGGGATCAGGGTGTTTAATCACCCCTCTTTGGGTGGATTTCCTAGCTGCTGCATGGGCTGCTGCTTTACAAGGCTAAGGAAATCCAGGCCTATTTTCTCTCTCAGCACTGTCTTTTTTTTATGCCTGCAGCCCAGCATTAGCGGGGTGGACCTGGACAAGTTCCGCCAGATCCTGCTCAACCACTGCGATGTGAACAAGGATGGGAAAATTCAGAAATCTGAACTGGCTTTGTGTCTCGGGCTTAAAATGAACCCGTAGCCGGGAGAGCACTCGTAGTTGTGTTTCCGTTGTGAGATTTGCCTGCTGTGCCTTGTAGAAGTGTGTCTGTGCTGCTGGGTGGGTGGTAGGGAGCAGAGCCACCACGACGCCGGGTTGGAGAGCGGCTCTATGAAGATGCAGCAGAGTGGGATTTGCATGGAGGGCCTCCCCACTCCACCACTCCCTTTGTGGTGTTCGCTCATAACCTCTGCTTGTGGGTCCCCTTAGCAATGTCTCTGCCCACAGCATACCAGCTACTCTGAAAAGGGGTTGCTGTTTTTCTCCTGCCCCATGAAACACCGCCCTGCCCAGCCCCTACAGTAGGGACAAGCATGTCCTTAAAAATGCCGTGTCAGTTCTCGCAGAGTGCAGCTACGTGGTGTTTCTGATGGCCGCCTTACGTGTGAAGTCATTACTCTGGTGAGCGTCGCGCTTTGTTTGTGCATTTAAAATATTGGATGGATGACGTGTATTTGTGCAGAAATAAAAAAAAATGGCAATTATGGAAATTCAGTAAGATTGAAGTTTGTTATGTACGGAAAGCCATCTGCTGCAGACTGGCAGACCATACATTGTACTCATTTTATGTAAAACACATTAAATGGCAAGAGGTTCTGTGATGTCTATCAACCCTTCTTCCAACCCAAAGTAAAATAATACACAAGGTTTTCATAAACTGAAAAACTGTAAGGACAGAATCCTAATGAGAGAAAAGCTCTTATTTTTTAGAAATCCATAAGAGTTAGTAAATACACATAACTTTTATTGAAATTAAAGCTTCCCACCACTCCCAGGCCATGAGTGTGACCCTGGAGCCTAACAGCAGCAGCATCATTTATGCCATATTTCCCTATTCCAAAGGCTTTGGCTGTATATACAGAAAGTGCCAAACCTACACCATCATTCCCAAATAATCCTATCTTCATATCCAAAGAGAAAACTGCAGAGGAAGGGTTGTTGGCAAACTCCTGCACACTTCAGCATTTACATCTCCTACAGATGAGAGGCCCAGATCTGACACTACTAGTGTCTTTTTGGTTATCATCTTTGCACAAGGCAGTACAATGAAACACTTCCTTTATACTCGGTTTTATAAAAATGAATCAGAAATTACCTTCAGTCAACACAAATAAAGATGGAGATGTGAGTCAATAAAGTGCTTAAGAGCACAGACACCTTTGGAGATATGCTCATTTTCTGTTTACATTGGTGGTAAGATCACAGACAGAAAAAGTGCTAAGTGCATCACCAACCATCTTTTCACTATACCTCCAATAGGATGTGAGTTATCAGCCAAAATAGTTATGCCTTTAAGTATATTCTTCTGCTTCTGTTTCTCTCTCTTCTTTCAGTCTTTATATCATTCTCATTGTTATAATTATTTTCTTAAACTACAGTTTCTATTACTTTGGATATGGGAGCAATTTCTGTGACATCCCCTACAATAAATTTCTACTTGTAGATATATGATCTTTATGTTATTTGTATTATTTACTTATAACAGGTCCATTCTGTATTACCCTTGTTTAATCCTATTAATATCAGTAGTACTTTTTCTCATTTATTAAAGTGTAAATTCAAGAATGTCCTGCCTTGCCTCACCAAAAATAGAGCAACTTTTAATCTAAAATGAAAACAATCTTTTAAAAATTGTGTACAACAACCATTCTTATTTCAAGAAGTATACAACACTTCAATTTTATTGAAACTTTATGCTTTCTACATACTCTACAGACAATAGTTTTTGTCCAACAGACAGTGAGCAGTAGTGAGTTTGATATGTTGGTGTCACAATGTATTTTGCTTCTTTTGTACAAATCTGGGATTTTTTTAATACCGAGTTTGCCAGAGCCTTCTGCTCTGCAAGTTCACACATATGGTTTTATTAGCCTTAAAAAGGTGAGTGCATAGCCTCCAGTAAGTGAGTTTATAAGAGTGTTTTACAAAACATTAGCAAATGTAATTGGGGAACATAGATTAGAAGTTTAAAATGCAGAACTCAGAAGAGGTGTTTCTATTCTTTTAAAAAATGTATTTAGTTTTCCATTCCCACAAGTATAGTCTTTGTGTCCAGAGCAGAGACTAGAGACCAGGAAAACAGCCATGCATATGCTGCCTTGCTTGCAGGGACAGCCATATCCCAGTGCGACTCCAGCCCAAGTGAGCCACAGGTTCCCTGGAAGCAACACCAAATGTCAGGAGAGGCAGTGGGTTTTGAGCCCATGTTACAAAGGTCAGCAGGGCAATTATTAACCAGCCATGGTCTTACAACCCTCCGGCCTCTGAAAGTCAATGTTATTGCAGGAGCCAGGCAGTTTGAGACTTTGAGACTTCCTGTGGAGAAGACGTGTTCCTTGCTTGCAGAGGGTTTGTTTTTTTAAAAAAATTGTTATTTTCACTTCATTAATGAATGATCCGCAAGGCCCTTTGGTTTCAGGCTCTGATGATTTAATCCTTTTAAGCTGCTATAGATACATAGATAGGCAATGCATTTTGATAAAATATAGCTATTTGCCCTTTTGCAAATTTGAAGGGTAATTTACATACAATGTGGATTATCTTACATACCAAAATATGAGATACTGTTTCACATTTGAATGGTTACATGAAAATACCTGCTTTGCATTAGTTATATGAAAACATCATGCCTATAAACCCAAAAGCATTTACACATCGTGATGCCTTCTGTGCTGTAAATATATTGAGGGTATGTGAGGAAGGCTTGAGGCTGTTCGATCTCTGCCAACCAAATTCTGCAGATATCACATTATTTAGGAGCCTGCATCTTGGTAACTAGAATTTGAACACAGAAAGTGAATGAAAAAGTTTTCCAAGATTATTTTCCATCAATATTTTCATGTTTTTCTCTAGAAAACCAGGTTTAAGGGAGTCACAGTTTTCTGCTTCTTCATAGTATGCAAATCTACTGAAAGAAATTTTAACTGACTTATATCACCATTGTAAACAGGTGTATTTCCAAAAGACATTTAGCTACCACAGCAGTCAATATACACAGTGCTCCCAAATGTGACACTTCATGGCTGGATTTCTTCCTTTGCTTGTCTAATTGACAGACTGCTGGATCTGGAAATCAACATGCAAATTTCCTCAAAGCAAAACTGTTCCTTTGCCTCCTTGTTCACTGTGAGTTACATGAGATCATGCCCTGAGCTCTCGTCATGCTTCCTGCTCATATTGGCCCTTCTCATTTTTGGCACTTGACATAGTTTTTTTCTGGATGACTTGTCATGACAACTTTGTTCAGGAGACACTGCCTCTGACAGCTTCAGCTGACTGTGTAGAACTGATACCCATGAAAAATGAACATTTATGGGGCTTTTTAACTCAAATCCACCCTTCGTTTAACTTATTTGGTTTCACTGGAAATTATGTTACAAAGACACAGTCTTTTCCGTCATCATTTTGAACCTCAACAAGCTGCTTGCTTATCCCAAGCCATCACCATGGACATCTGCCACTGGAGAACCCAAATTTCCTGAGCCAGCCTCACAATCCCAAATTGCTCAAGTGTCAGCTTGTCCCTTGGTCTGTGCAATTTTTTCCCCAGAATAATGAACCTAAATATACATGCTTTCATCTCATTCCCCAGTATGAACACAGTCTGTCAGTCTCACACCACTGACACCCAAACTGGAACCAGATGAGATGTTGAGAAATTGCAACATTTGAATTTCATTGGTGCTTTATTTTCAGATTTTCAGTAAAATAATTGTCTCCCTTTGCTCTCACAATATTGCTTTAAATAACAGAGGTGAAGCTGCCCATGGACCCTGCAAAACCCTGCTTTATTCCTACTGAAAGCTAAGAATTGAGCATGAGCCCAGAAGAAGGGCTCAGAGCATAGGAAAACAGCACAATATTTTGATTAATCTCCTTTTCTGTTTGTGTGACAAGAGAATAGTGTCAATATTAATGAAAACAATTGTGGCTAATGCAGCCAACAATACTATCAGAGAATCATCTGCCACATTATAATAGGAATCCATCACAAGAAACACCTTAATTACAGCTATTATATTTTAAAATGGCTGCATATCCCTTACAGTAATCTGATTTGAAACAGAAAGTTGCTGTTATGTTGTGAGTTGTTAAATGGGGCTTTGCTGTGTAAATACATGAGGTAAAGTAACTATGAAAGTCCTTTTTGTATGAGGGCCACACTGACTGCAAATGAAAAGCTCTCATTTTCTGGCTCTTCACTGCACCTGTATTTTCAGTAACTCCACAGAAAATTGCATCACACTTTAGGAAACATTTGCAAATGGGTCAAGGAGTGAGGGGAAGAGTGCCAGTTACCACCATTACAAGAGAAAAATAAGGGAATGATTTGCCTATGGTTGTATGGCATATGTGGTCCAGGCAAAGGCTCAGGCTGCATCTCTGCCATCATCTGGCATCTTTTTATATGAGCTGTTCTGGAAAAAAATGAATTTGTTTGGAGTTCAGTTGGAGACACTACAGCCCATGACAACTATTAGCCAACATGGCAGGAGAACAGGCATCTGTTCCAGGCATGGAAAGACCTGATGTTGGGTCCCTGCTCTGCCCAGTATCACATCTGTGAAGCTCAAATTATTTCAACCTGCTGGGTCTTATCAGGGAAAGGTTTGTGTTGTACGTGATGAGAACACGTAACAGCATGTTGAAAATTAGCCATCTTTGTTTGGACAGGTACTTTTGAAGGGTGTATTAACAATAGTGGCCACCATGTTCCCAAATAAAGGAGAACTAAAAGTGCCGGTGCCCACACGCAGTAAGGGACTGCACAGGCTGCACTTTAGGGTGAATCTGGTTGCCTCTTTGAGGTCCTCTTGCACTAGCCCCTGGTAACAAAGCCCAGGGAAGGCTCTCCAGGTGTTACAGGGGAATAGAGGGAGTTTAAGCCCCTAATTAATTTAAAATCCAGCTGGGGCCTGCATCCTTGTACAGTGATTACAAGTTTGTACCAACTTTCCATGGTTCTGCTTTTTAAAATAATC